AACATTTTAAAATGGTACACATGAGCTACGATCGTGATGTTCTTGCACTTAAGACGCTGCTAAAGTGCATCCCATGCCTCCGTGTCAGGTGTCTACTAAGGTAGGCAATGATTTTCTTTTCACAAATCTTGTATATTGTACACTTTATTTTTCTGTTTCGTTCATGTTATCGGCGGTTATGGCTGTTGCTCATCATGGCGTGTGTGTGTGTGTGTGTGTGTGTGTGTGTGTGTGTGTGTGTGTGTGTGTGTGTGTGTGTGTGTGTGGTCTACAGTGTTTGCACATTTGTGTTTCCCCCAATATAGCAGGTTTTATATTAGAAAAAATAAATAAAAATTTCCCCCTCAAGCTGCTTTTCGATAAGTCTTCTGGCGCCCCCCAGGGGTGTTGCACCTTGTACTTAAAATGTGCCGATCCATTCACTCCACCTGCATACACGTGAATGGTGTTATTAAGATTCATGCATTATTCACTCGCAAATTAATTAAACACGCTGTGGTTAATGAAAAGGGGTACAGATGTTTTCATAATTTTTTTTTTTCTGTAGCCAAATCACCCAAAATTAGGTTGGTTCTTCTTTCGGCGCTTGGACTTTTACGGGCTCTCCAGTATAACCTCAGAAGTCAAGCACACCATCAGTGGTAGAAGATGGATACCAACCAACATTTTCTTAAAGTCTGAGTTCCAGTGGTGAGGGTAAAAAATTAATTTTGTGATGTAATGCCGTTGAATGGAAAACTACCTTATTGCTTCAGGCCTAGTTGATTGACTTGAACAAGAAGATATTGATGAGGATAAAAAATATGTGCTGCCTTTTGCTTCCTTCATCACTTTTTACCCAACTGAGACACATTTTGACTTTGCAGTGCACCACCCATCTGATGTATCCGGTTTAAACCTTTTCTACACACACACACACACACACACACACACACACACACACACACACACACACATCCATCTATCCATCTATCCATCCTGGCCCCCTCATGGTGCAAGTGCAGGTGCACGAATGACAGCAGACCGCCGGGACGAATGTGATTGAGCAGGCGCCCAGCGCTGATTACAAAATCGGCAGGCCGTTGATTGATGGCCTTTTGAGAAGAGTCTTGCTGTATGCGACTTCAATGTCCCTCGGATGATGTTAGAAAACGTCTGAAAATGCGAGTAAAGCAATACGTTACGCATGGGCCTGACACGCACAGACACACACACAAAAGAATAAAAAATAAAACAATTCAGCGTTGTGAGAACACATGCGTTCTTAATAAAACACGTCAGACAACGACTTCCTGTCAGGCCTAATTGGCGCTAACTGAAAACGATCCATGTTCTGCTCTTTGTCGGGTGCTCTCGTCTGTGTCGTTCAGTTTTCCCATCAGTCTTTTTTTTTTTTTTTTTTTTACTGACTGAGTGTGCAGCTGCGTCCTCCGCATGGCAGGAAAAATGGATGTCAGTCCTTGAGTGAACACTAGGGGGAGCAAGCATGCAGTTTGTCTGCACCATTTGTGTTGACGTCTGTTTTTTTTTTTTCTGATTGTCTCAGCATCTGGAAGTGTACTTAGGTTTTTTTTTTTGTTTTTTTTTAATTGTGTACCTCATCAGACTAAAAGCTGTTTATGTTTTTGTAACTTTGAATACTGAGCAGCATGGTGGATGAAGGGTTACCACAACCACCAAACATTTGTGGTTGGTGATTGAAATCCAGGTCCAACACTGATACAAGGGGTTTAATACATTTTAAAACAAAATGTCACTATAATGAGGGAGGGAGGGGGGTGAATGGAGGGCTGTAGTTATCCAATATTTAAGTATTTGAGTATCCTTCTGAAAATTTGATACAATAGTCGCGTGTCACCGTCACACAATGTTTTTTTTGTATGGTCTGGTTGCCAAGGTAACAATGGAAAACCATCACCACACTGACAATGCTTGATGCGTTTTCATTGGCGTGTTAAAAAGGGATATGTGTAAATAAAATGGATTTGACAAGACAATACTGACGGGTTTGAGGATTACACTATAATCCTCTGGAAACATTTTTACAGGTTCTTGCTGCAGTTTCGCAACTAAAACTGGTGCAGTGCCGCATTCACTATACTGTACTGCAACCCTCAAATTGTTTCCTTTTATCCGGACTCATCTCCTGCATTATTGCTTCTTTGCTGCAGTTCTTGATGCCTGATTGTTGCTTCTCCCTCTAAAGCACTGCTTCTCAATTATTTTGTGTTACGCCCACAAAGGAAAAAAAAAAAATTGCACTCCCTCAACTCCCTACCGTGAACCTGAACAGTGTTATTTGTCTATAAAATTAAGTAACATTTTGGAAAACATAAAGGGAAATAGAAAAAATATGCAGTAGATCCTTTTAACCAAAAATAATTTTATGAACATTGTTTTTTCGTCCCTCTCCGCCTTTCTTTTCATTTTTCCATGATGTCTCTTAGGGTTTGCTCACTGCACTTCATATCACCTTGGAGACCCCCCTCACACACTTTGACAATGAGAGCGCCACTGCCACCTACTGAAATGGAATGGAATCAAATTTATTGTCATTTCACAAGCACATGGACAGAGCAATGAAGTTGGCCAAAAAGGTACGAGACATTTAAAAAGAATGACCAACAGAGTGAGACAGAACAGAAAAATATGCCGAGCTGCCACAGTGATATTCTGAAAAAGAAAAACATGAGGAATGTGGTGGGAAAAAAAAAATCAAGCTTTGCTCCTCTTAGGAAGGGGCATAGTATGGGATTGGAAAAAAAAAAACTTTTGTGACAGCCACATGAATCGCAGTGTTGGGAAAGTTCATTTTGTATTTCAACTTTTGATCACGTCTGTGTATAAATCTATGAAAATTCATAACCTCTATCTAAGTCAAGATGCAATGATTTTTGCTATTACACTGTCCCTGTAATTAATTCTCGAGTCGATTCTGCACTTGCACTTTCACAAATGGCTGAGATGGAATGAATCATTTCTTCACTGTGTTTAAAAATAATAATCATTTAAAAAAAAAAGTGAATACTTCCCTTTCTGAGAGCACTAATGGCACTAATGGGCATTGGTGTAACGAGGGAATCATTTCCGTCCTTCGTCCCACTTGCTGCTGCCTCTCCTCCATAATATTGTTCACCTCCTTCTCTCTCCTGCAGATGATTGGCTTTGAAAGGCCAGCGGCTGTGCACTGACTGTGCATGACTTCTGAGGAAATACACTCTGGCTTATAAACCATTGTGTGTGTGTGTGTGTGTGTGTGTGTGTGTGTGTGTGTGTGTGTGTGTGTGCGTGTGTGTGTGTGTGTGTGTGTGTGTGTGTGAGCGCGCATGCACGCGCACACAGTGCAAATAGGCAGACAAAGCTGTGCTAACAAGAACGTGGCTGGTGTGTGTGCACAGACTGATGTGACACACACACAGAGCAGATAGATCTCCGGCGCTAACAATGTTTTGTTAGGAGCAGCAACTATTTCCGCTGTATGTGGGAGGACACTAACAGTGTCTCTCAAGAACCAGGCCGGCAGCGGCAACCGCAGCAGCAACCCTCTTTGTTTTACAAGCACACACACACACACACACACACACACACACACACACACACACACACACACAACGCAGCTGCACAGACAGCACAACCAATCTCATTCTTTTCTCCACCGATAATATGTAAATGTATCCTCTCCTGCCTTTTACGGTCAGTCGGGAATTGGGCTTTTCAATTCGACGAGATCTCTCCTGAAAAGAACATCGGCGATACCTGAAAGGATTTTGTTTTTTTGTTGCATTGACGCTTGTCGCCATTTGTTTAGTAACGGACTGAAAGTATGCAGTGATTTGCTCCGCGCCGACAGCTCGTTTCGAATCGTCGGCTGAGTCTTCAGAGGGAGCCCGTAGATCGAGACGGACGTGTGACAAATTTATAGGACAATAAATAAATCGTGCCGACACGAGGATTGGGAATGGAAAGTCACGAGATGATAACATCGGAATATTTTCCAACGATAACATCACGCTTCAAAACATATAAAGAACAGCTCACTGACCTTTCAATAAGCCTTCCCCATTTAGTAACTGTTGTTCACTCTGAAAAAAATGCCTTACCACCAACAAAACTCTCACAGTGTCAGCCAGAAAATGCTCTCAATCGCACCTCAACCAGACTAAGAAAGGTTTGCACCCACCAAAGGACTTCTTATCACCAAAAAATCTGCTGCACACACAAAAAAAAAACCTCTTCCACAGACAAAAAACAAAAAAAAATCACCCTCACCAAACTCATGGCAAAAACATTTCGGTGTCACACCAAAAGACTCACACTCACTAAAATCTCCCAATCCTTCTAAAAAAACTTTTGCCACACGCCAAGAAACCTTGCAGTAAAAAAAAAAAATCGCATTCCAAAAAAAAAATCACCTCCACCAAAAACTCTGACATTGACAAAAGAAAAAAAACACAACAAAAAATGTGTACCAATTCGCACTCCTGAAAAAAAAACTCCCACTGAATACCTCACTCACACAAAAAATTATGTCAGGCCCCCCCAAAAAATCCCTCTCACTCCAAAAAACTTTCATTCTTACCAAAAAACTGACAGAAAAAAACTGTCTCAATCAACAAAGAACCACTTACTCGCATAAAAAATCTCTCACAAAGAAAAACTCTTACATTCACAAAAGTCTCTCTCTCTCTCTCTCTCTCTCTCTCTCTCTCTCACTCACACACACACACACACACACACACACACACACATTCACCAAAAACCTCACTCACAACCAAAAACGTTCACACCCCCCCAAAAAAATCACTCACTTTCACCAAAAAAACTTTCACTCTCACCCAAAAAACTCATACATAATATGTGAAGTGGAATTAAAATCTGATCATTTTTCAACAATGATCAAGACGGCACTGATTATACTAATAACACATCAACACAGTCAAATATGAAAGTGAGGGCAAAAATTAGATGCCTTATGGGCCCAAATTAACATTTTACTTCTCATTACTCACCCAAAAAAACCTTTTCACACTCACCCGAAAAAACTTTCACCCAGCTCCAAAAAACCTCCCACCCGCACTCTAGTGTGCATCTCATGTAATAATGCTTTTTTTTTCCCTCGTCTCATTCCTTTTGTGTAAAAATGGAGCAAACATAAATCACCTCCTGTCTGCTGTCTATTTCGTCTCCTCTGACATTTGCTCCCGAATCCATTAGCGAGGTCTCACATATGAAAAGCAATGATGTGTGCGTTGGGTTCGAAGAGCCCATTCATTGTGCTGCGGAGGTAAAATGAACCTCCCACATGGCACTGTCTGCGCCCACGGTCGTCATTATTTTAGTAATTCACCAGATATCCTTGAACGCTCCTGCTCGCTCGCTTGCTCTCCTCTTCTTCCTCCTCCTCCTCCTCCTCCTCCTCATCCTCCTCCTCACTCTGCCTGCCTCTCTCACTCACTCGCCGTATCTCTGTAGTCTTCATTATTCTGCACCTGTCAGCAGCGGACGGAAGCCGCACGCTCATCCCTCCTTCCTGTCCTCCTTTCATATTTACGCCCATGACTTCTGCGAATGACGGCAGCGGGCCGGCGAAAGGCGCTCAGCAGCCTGACCAGGTAGGACCTGGTGTGCTTCTCCTCTCCATCTCTTCCAAATTGTCTTTGCATCAGCAGATTTTGGACATGAGGGTCAGGACATTTGTGATCGAAGTTGCTGCCATGTGAATGTCGAAGGTGCACAGCGTGCAACAACTGGGGCACAACTTGAAATTAAATAATTCATGAAGTTGTTTGTAACCTCAGCCCTGTGGAGCAGCCTGAGCCCGACTCTCAAATGGAGCTTTAGATTTCAGAGACCTCATCAGATTTTGGAGGAGCGCTGACATAAAACGAGGGTGGAGGTGAACAGAGTTGGTCTTAAATGATGTGAGTGTCAATGGTAGTGTGGGACGAGGCCGGAGGGAATGCTGAGACACAATGTAATGATGGGTCTTCTCACACTTTCCACAAGTGAGATAGTGGCTCGGATAATGTAATGTCATTGCATGGGTGTGAAGAGGCTGACTGCCATAAAATGAAAGTTGTTTTGTCAACAGCTTGATTGGTGATGTCACACAGCAGGTGTCCCATTGTTGACTTGTCAGGACATTTTCCAAGTCTGTAAACATGAGGTGGCTAACAAAACTCATTGAGCTTCAGTGAATGTAAACGGTGAAAAAAAAATCAGATGGAAAAAAAAAAAATTATATATATAAAAAAAAAAAAAAAAATGTCCTTCTAACCCTCGGGTGGTGTCCATCCCCCATTCAGCTCGGGCCCACTACCAGAGGCCAGGAAGCTTG